GGGGGGGCAGAGTGCTGGTTTGTTATGACACCAGCAATAGCAGACAAAGTCAAGCGTGTCTCTTGTTTGACTGGGCTTCGTGACTTCGTAAACTGCGGGGATTGACTGAGTCTTGAATGGAGGACGACAGCGCAGGTGATGCCAGCCATTGACATTGGCTCCATGTCCGTTGAGCGTTAGAGTTGGGTTTGGCATTCGGGGACAGAGGGCAGAGGAACTTTGTTGCGGGTGCTATACTATACGCCCTATCCCCGACGTTTGTTATCCACGATTGTTTCTTTTTCAGTTCCCTGTAAATGTGAAAATTTTAATCGACAATTAACTTTTCTTAGTTGTTCATTTGATTTCCTTCACTCACTGTAACTCCTACCCGCCGCCAAAAATAACGTGGTTCATCAACCGCCTCAAAGCGACAGCGCCGATGCGTTTTAATTGTAAAGTGAATTTAGAGTAGCATAAGTCCAAAGAGAAATTTGTGTGCGGGCGGCGGGCCGGGGCCCCCGCGGGTCCGGCCCCCGCTGGACATTCGCTGGACATGCGATGTGACGTGCTCACGACGGGGACGTGTGCGGCTCTGACAGCCATGGTCACTGATGCGCAGCCTCCTGCGGGGGCGGCCGGAGCCGCGCCAGCCGCGTCCTGTCCTCCTGTCCGGCGGCTGCCCTGGCAGTTAGGCGCGCGTCCAGCCCCGGACACCATCACATGTCGAGCAGGGGATTCGCGAGGGCCGCCGCCAGGGTTTCGCGCGTCGCGGTCCATGACGTCCGGGAGGCTGGGCCTCGACGGCCATGACCGTGCACAGGATGCTGTCGTGGCTCGGGGGGCTGCTGACGGCGCCGTCGCCGTCCTCCGCCGGCCCCGGAGTCACCCCCGCGGGCAAGGACCAGCGCCGCGACCGGGGGCGCAGGAGGTCGGCGCCGCCCTCGGCGGAGCGTGCCAGACAGCTGTTCACCTTCAGCATCTTGTGAGTGTCGGGGGAAGAACGTCCGCGCCGTCGGCGAGGGGAGGGAACGAGTCTACGGCGAGGGGTGGGCGCGCAGAGACGTCGCGGAAATCTTTTTTCGATGCGGTAAATCAGAATAAATTGCTCTGTAATTGGTGGCGATTTGCATTTTAAATCCGCCCGGGCCGCCATCGTTCTCATCTCTGGCATATTTTTTTCTTTTTAAAGTTAAAACGTGACCCCCCCCCCCACCTAATTTTTTCCCAGTTGTGTATGTATGCTTTTAATCCACAAGTGCTTGGAGCATAAAGTGTGTTATGTGTAGGCTCCGTCATTAGTATAGTAGAGGACAACTTTTTGCGCCCGTGTTATGAATTAGAGCGCACGGCATGCAAGGCAACCAGCGGCCAAACATTTAATTATTTTTTTAAAAAGCAGAGGAAAAGTAGTGGTGGCCATAGTTGTTGTCCTTCCCGCCGAGGACGTGGAGACGAAAATCTCAGCCTGCGATTAATAACTATATAGCCCGCCCCTTGCCCCTCTCCACGACGACGAAGCAGGGGGTCTGATGGGCTGCCTACCCCGCACGGCGCCGGCGTATTAGGTCCCGGCCGCGCCGTCGCGGACCTGCACGTCCGGCGCCGCCAACTTCGCGTGTCCCGCCCGCCGCACACGAGCCCGCTCGCTCACACACACAGGCGAATACACTCTGCCGATGAGTCTGTCTCTACTCCCCGATATTTTCCAGCTGCTGATAAGCCAGCCGCGGTGGGTACTCTTAACGTCTAATGGAAAGTTCTCACGAATATCCTTGCAGACCACTTATTTCTTTTTCTTGGCCCCTGCTGCTACGTCTTACCGCGAAATCTCTCAATTGCCGTCCGTTTTGGCGAGCCTGCAAGTCGCGGCCGTGCCGTGCCGCCGTGGTCTGCACTGCGCCGCCTCGAGCCAGTGTTGCCCTGGTCAGCTCGGTGGTCCGCGGGCTGACCGCTAGAGCGCGCTCCCTCACGGCTGCCGGAAAGTTGTGTGTTGTCGGATGAGAGGGAGTAACTCAGTAACTTATACAGTGTAGTATGAAGGAGGAGAGAAGATGGCCGATCTATGGCGTAACGTAGCGTGGGCTTAAAACAAGGCAGAACCAGAACGCTGTGTTGTTTCACACCCATCTTCATCTTAAATCTTTTACCGCTAGTCTTGTCACTAGGACCCCTTCCAGCAAACATCAATCTGAGGCAGGCGATATTCGATAGGCCTGCGTTAAGGTTTGTGGTGCTTTGTTTTGAGTCGATCCACTGCCACTGTCACAGAGCCGCCCATCTTCTCCTTTCTTATTCATGCCAATGAAGTGACTCGTTTTGTCAGAAACAGGCGGTGCTGGAGAATCGTGCGTCAGGGTTGCCAGAAAAGTAGGCAACGAGTAGCCCAAACACACAAATGTGGAGTTGGCTGCCTAAACGCCTGCCTACTAGGCAACATCTTAATCCGTGAATGCGCAGCAGTGTTGCGGGCTTGCCTACCCAACTTGCCCGTAAGGCGCCATGGCTACTGCAGCCCTGGCGGGTATGCAAACCCGCAACACTTCTGCGCATTCACAGTTATACCCACGCAGGCGTTTGTGCGGCCAGCTCCACACCCACCCCTGTGTGTTTGAGCTACTTATTGCCTACTTTTATGGCAACACTATCGAACGTTGCTAAAGGCGTTGATAAAGATCATGAGCGGAGATATACATCAAATCAACACGTTTCATAAATTCACGAAGAAAATCGAGTAAAGGAGCATTCACTCAGAGAGTGGACACTACTTTCGACCCTCATAACTTTTGATGGAGTTCGAACCACTATGATTAAGATAAATATTTGAATCTGCCCTAATCCATTTTGATTTTCTTCTGTTTCAGGTAAGTTACTCTTATAAACCGTGATGGATTACCTGTGTGCGTGGATCCGCCCAAGTAAGTAAGTAATGAGTCCTGCGTTTCGGCGCGATTCGCTCTCTGCACGGCCCTCCCCAACTCCCCCTCTCCATCTACCATCGCCATCTGAGCCGTTGACGCCCGGCGTTTTCTTGCCCAGCCCCAGCCATACCGATTCCCCCTTCTCGTCTGCCAGTTTGACATTTCCTTTAAATCGATTCTCCCCGGGTGGGCTGGGCGGTGGAAGAGTATACGGGGTTGGGCCGATGACCGAGGGG